CCTTTGCCAGGGTTACCATACTTAGATATGTGTTCTGATAGAAGTGGGTCGTACTCTGCAAGTAATTCCATCATCATAATAAAATTTCCAGTATTTGAAGTAGATGATCCAAATTTTTCTACATCACCTCTAAATGATAATCCATGACTTGCCAAACTTTTAATAACCGAACAAACCCTGGTCAGTACACTAATCCAATATTTTTTTTCGGTTTCTATTTGATGTATTAGTTTTGAATTTATTTTACTTAAATCTGATGCAAGTTCTTTCATTTTATAAGAACATAGTTTGTGTTCAGGTGAATTTTCATGGTAAGAAATTTTTTTAGGGTGTTTCCAATCTGAAAATCCTTTTTTTGAAAAATTAGTTTTATTCTCAAATAAGAGACATGGAACACAATAAATTGACCCAGTACTCTCAGAATAAGATAAATAATTTCTTTGACATGTTTCACCATTGATTAAAACAGTTTTGAAAAAATCTATATTCAGATATCTAAAATAGTTACGGAAATGCCGTTTCTTTACAACTCTGTACAATCTTTTTGAAGCTGTAAATTTAACATCTAGATTTTGGCTAAATCCATTTTTACAGATATATTGCCTCGTTTGTTCATTTATACTCCACAATGCTGGATCCAATCTTAAATAAAAATAAAAATGAAAATTACTTATTAATTTAGAAATAGTTACAATAAGAATAACATATAAATGCATTTAATATATTAGAATATTTAACCTAATAAATTTTTACTTATTTTACCTATTATTATTATTTTGTATTTTGTATAAAATTAATTCTAATAAAATAATTAAAAATGTCTAATGAAGATAATCGTCAAAAACTAAGTTAAGTAAGAATTTATTTAAGAAATATAATTTTAATTACAGTGTTTTAACTTTACCCAGGTATATCAGTAGAATTTGGTTCTAATTAAATATTTATATGCTCTGACACGCATGGAGGTTCTGTATCCAAATTATTACAAAGAGTTGTAAGGCCAGCTTGACGTTGTTCAGTAGATTTATTAACCATACCTGACTCTGAGTAGAAATATATAATGATATAATCAAAAATTATAAAAATACTAGTTGTGTTTAACCATAGTTTAAATACAACACATTTTTTTATTCGATATATCTGAATACCTGATTTATATAATAATGAAATAACTAAAAACTACCTAATAAGAAAATTCATATAATTTGGAGTATAATATTTAACTTTTAAGCAATTGTTATATTTAATTATTTAAATTTCCGCAATAATATAATAATTAAGATTGGTTTGGTGTAATAATATTTGATTTCTTAAAAAAAAAAAATTATACTTATTATGTTTATATAAATTTCATATTATTATTAGTTTACTTTACAGTGAACATAAATAAAATACTTACTTTTGAACATCGTGTCGATTTTAATAGTTTTTTGAACAACTTTATTCAAATTAAATTCTTTGAGCTTAGCTATTTTCTTGTATTCAGCCCCACTAAGCCTATTTCTTCTTGGAGCCATAACTAAGTAAAATAGGTATAAAACATTATTACNTCCATAACTAAGTAAAATAGATATAAAACATTATTACAAATATAAAATGTACCGACCTATTCAAAATGTAAATTCGTGACTTATATGAGAAAAATTATATCGTAACTAATATTCCGCAACTCTTAAGAACAATAATTGTTTTTTTTCTAACTATTAGAATTAAAGCACAATTAACATTTTGTAAATAATTAATCATAATAGTCTTTACTACAATATAAATATTAAATAACATATAATACTATTGGTTTTATAATATTTTAAAATCAATGATAAATTATAATACTTACTGTTTTGAATATACACGCGTAGTATAAATGTATAATATTAATTAATAGTTAAAATAGATTGATTAACAGACCACGACACCACNGCGGCCCTCACACGATCAATATTACTGACAGTATAATTATTGACAGTATTTGACATTACTGTCAGTGTACTACTCAAACGGTCAGTATAAATTAGTGTCAATACATCAGTACTGATCTGTATTTACATTGTTCGGGTGTTCGTTTGGTCAATTTTATTAAAATGGACGAAAATCGTCGTAAAGCGTGCATAGCAATTATTTTAGCGTTTTCTATTCCAAGTAAACGGATAACTAATAGGAAGCGATGGGTAAAAGAATGGATTAGCAAACGTAAGAAGTATTGTCATTTAAATCTGTTAAAAGAAATCCAGCTTTCCGACCCAAAAGACTACCAGAATTATTTTCGAATGAACAGTAACATCTATAATAAATTACTAAGCATGGTAGAACCACTTATTATTAAGAAAAATACTAATATGAGGGAAAGTATTCCTCCAAATCAAAGACTGGCTCTTACTTTGAGATACCTTGCAACTGGGCGATCGTTTGAAGACTTGAAATATTCTGCAGTCATCGCGCCAACAACCATAAGTGAAATCGTGATGGAGACTTGCAAAGCTATAATTACTGTTCTCAAGGATCGCATTCAGGTTAATAAAATTATATTATTAATGCTTAATAATAAATAAACAATTACATAATTTAACAATATTGCAGTCTTTATAACTCATTTGAGCAATTAGTCTTATTAAAAAAACTTAAACAACATATTTTTTTAAATTCTAAAACTNCATTTGAGCAATTAGTCTTATTAAAAAAACTTAAACAACATATTTTTTTAAATTCTAAAACTATTAACAATTACATAATTTAACAATATTGCAGTCTTTATAACTTATTTGAGCAAAGTCTTATTAAAGTAACATATAGTATTATATTAAACATCACTTCCATTCCAGTTGCCATAGAAATTTTGTAAATTTGTTTGTGTCAAAACATAGTCCTGAGATTGTGATGTACTATTTGAATTTTCGTTCCAATTATTTACTGTCATTGGAGTAGATGAACGAGTACAATCTTCTTCATTTATTTTGACTGAGTTTCTGTGCAAAGTTCCAAGCTGTGCCTCAAACAAAATATCATTGATCGCTTTCTGAGCAAATACTTTTTGATTAGGAGTCAGGGTTTTTAACGTATTTGCCCAAACTTTGGCCTGGTCTAAGTCTGAATCTTGTCTATTTTCTTCATTTGTTAAATAATTACAAGCAAGTGATAGTAATTCATTTTGTTGACTGATAGTAGATTTGGATTTTTTTGGTAACGGTCGAATAAAAGTAGGAACTGCATTTTTTGTTTGTTGAATTGCTTCACTAGATTCATTGTTTGGTACCTTAAATATAAATCGAAGAATTTTATTTAAAATTAATATTTTTTTAATGTTTTACTTATAAATTAAATTCTATGATTACAATTAGTCAATTTATATTAATTAGTAATTTTTTGAAGCTTTCACAGACTCCTGAAGCATGGAAAATTGTTGCGAGTGATTTTAATTGCAAATGGAATTTCGGTAATTGTTTGGGAGCCATAGATGGCAAACACTTGAACATAAACCCCCTAACTCGGGCTCCATGTACTATAATTATAAAGGTATAAATTATAATAAAGGTAATTAATTATAATAATTATTAATTTTTTTTTATATTNGCTGTCTACAGTGACTTCTATGAATTCGTTATGTAGTTTACCTAATATGTGTAGAGCATTGGCTTTTCTGTCATGATTTACTATTATGAGTACTGTATCTGATTCGTTTGAATTTGTTGTTGTTGGAGAGTAAGGTGAATGCAAGTCTCCAATTGAAGCATTTAACCTAAAAGGGGGTTTTTTGTATTTGAATCATTTTTATTATTTTTTAAGTAACATGCGTCTTCTGTATGATATCTTTTGTTACAGAATGTGCATATTAGTTTCCACTTACAATCATTTGATTCGTGATTGTTTCTATTGCAATGAATACATGCGGTTTTGGAATAATAAGAATTTTGTTGATTATTTTTGTTGTTATAATTCTATCTGTTATTATATCTATTGTTCTCTCTATTATTGTTATTATATATTTTGGCATTTTGATAGTTATTATTACTATAAGGTTTGTTGTTATACAATCCATTGTTTCTATAACTGTTGTTTCTTGTGTTAGGATTATTGTTATGTATTCTGTTATTATCATAATTATTATTTCTATAATAATTATAATTGCGTTCTCTGTAATCATTACTATTATTATTATTAAGCCCTTTTCTGTTGATATAATTTGTTTTGAAATTTTCATTTTTCGAGTTTTGTTGTGTAGATTGATTTCCAAAAATTGTGCATTTGGATAACATGTCTTCAATTCTTGAAATCTGTGATGCAAGAACATCTATGCGATTTTGATTATCACTGTTATTGATATTGAATATATTTTCCCTAGCTATATTGTGTTTAATTTCATCTTGGAATTCCGTTTTACTACCATCTATCATGAACTCGATAGATTCATACTTACGAATATTTCGTTTTAATTCTGTGAGAGTATTATTATCTAATATACCTACATATCTTGCTATTCTAGGTTGTAATCCTTTCATTATAGTATGAACTAATTCGGTTTGAGACATTTTGGGGTCAATTTTCTTACAAAGGGCTTCTGCTTCGTTTATATAACTGGAAATTGATTCATCAGGTAGTTGTTTGCGTTTATTTAAAATGGTGCGTAACATATGAGTTTGAGCTGTAGGTTCAAATTCTAGTCTTAACGCCTTTTCAGTGTCATCCCATGAAGCGTTTATATTATCGTTTTCGAAGTTATCAAAGAATAGAAGGGCCGTTTCGGTTAAATATATGGCCAAAAACGNAAGGGCCGTTTCGGTTAGATATATGGCCAAGAATGATTTTTTTTGTTCATTCGACCACCCGTTGATTATACTTGCCCTGTTGTATTTGTTCAGGAATGCGTTCACACTCTCATGTAGTGCGCCCGAAAATTTTTCAGGTTTACAAAATGGTACTCGTTCGGTCATTTTGTCAGTTGTATTTGTGTGTGTAGAAGAGATTATTGATTTTTCAGTTTGTGTAATTTTATCACAATATTTAATTTTATCGAAATCAGTAGTTGTACCTTCTATATGTCGTAATAATCTATCCTTTAATTCAGGTAAGGACCCTGTGCTAATTAAGTTTAATTTGTCTAATTCTTGTCTTGCTGATTTTATAGAAATTTTCTTTATAAATTCAGGTTTGTCTTCTGCAAATTCAAGTTCATATAAATCTTTTTGGAGTATTTTACTTATTTGATCGCCAGTTAAATCTTTTTCCATTAAGATGATTAAACATACGAAGTAGGTAAAATATGAAGTGGCTCAATATATGTGAGTTCTAGAATTTGTACAAGTTTTAATATTATTTTGATTCCTGTTTGTGGAAATAAAAATCCTCTTATTGTTTTATTAAAAATATGATTTGTGCAATTTACTAATATATCTCTGTTTTTTATATTAGTTTGTTTAAATGCTTTGTTAATATTATGCCTTATTAAAGTTTTGTATTTGATAATAGAACTTATTTGAATTGCATAATCTACTTCTGTTATAAATGTTTTAATTATTTCTTTTAGTAATTGTCTAATAAGTATGATGTCAGGAATTGTGTTTGTAGAGTTTACATTCATTTGTATTGTCTTATTGATATGTTTTTTCCAATATTTGTACAAGTTCTAAGGCTAATTCTGTGACTGTTTCTGGATATAATACGCCCCTTATTATTCTTGATTCAAAGAAATTTAATAAAGCGTATACTAATCTCGGAGAATATTGAAAACTATCAACTGTTGCTTTCCAAACAAGATTCGCAAGTACTTGATTCAATGTGTTTCTATTTTCTATTCTAGAGTCCTTTGGGTATTCTAATAGCAATGATCTTAGCATATATTTTATTGTTTTTCTATATATATTAATTGGTGATTGATTCATTAATTTAAGTCGAACAGCCAAAAAAAAAAAAATAATAATAATTAGAACTTTTAATTTTATTTTAAGCGGAGTTCTCTATGTTTAACAATCTGGTGTCTGATTGAAAATATGTCTTAGGAATTTTCTCGTAAATTTGCTCGATTGTATTATCATATAAGAATTTCAATGCAATAGTTAATTTGAGAATTATAGCTGATTCTAACAAAGGATAGGAATTAGGTGTTGTGTATATTTGAATAAATCTTTGAATAATGAGAAACTTGTTTATGTTGATTTTCATACGCAAAGTTGTTTCCCAAAGTGCATCTAAGATTATGTGATGCAACTGGAATTTATGTGTAATGATTTTGTTTGTGTAATTTGATATGATTCTGTTTAAAATATATTTTGTTATTTTGATAAATTCTACTTTAGTAGGAAAACTCATGTGTCTAGTTAATTTTGAAATTGAAAATGAAATTAGCACATTAAATATATGTATGTTTGGTGTTATTATTCCTGAGATATTCGTAATTCGGTATAACCTCGAGTATTTCGTTTATTTGATGATCTTGTAAATAACTTAATACTAATGAAATTTTGAGTAATAACGTTGTTTCTGTTATTGGAAATGTGTTATTATTGTTTATAAAGGCAAAAAGAAATCTTTGTATGGTTTGAGCTTTATATATATTAATATCGAGATGTAGAGTTACTTCCCAGAGAATATCAGTTATGATTTTAAATAAATGATATTTGCATTTAATGATATTATTACGATAATTATTAATTACTTCTTTAAATACAAACTTAACTACTGTAATTAATTCTTTCTTTGTGGGGTTGTTCATTAATATTGGACAATAATAAAATTTCTATAATCCTAACTAAAAAATAATGATATATTTGGTAGATTTTACTGAACAAAATTTAAAATATGTAATATGTCTGAGATTATAGTAATTTTATTAGCAGGTGTTTGTCGTGGTTCGAGCTGTGGTCAGGCGTCACTTGTAATAAACAAAAAGGAAAAGGCGAAGATTGGCGAGAGTGGTGAGAGGTAGTCTTGTAATAAATAAAAAGAAACACAAGAGAGACGAGTGAGTGTAGGTAGGGAAGGAATGTAATAAATAAAAATGGCTATAATAAGGTGGCGAAGGAATGTTGTTAAATGTGTTTGGGGTTCGGGGTGTGAAAGAGAAGAAATGTAAAGAAATGTAACACAGGTGGCTAATAAGGAAATAATAATCGTAGCGGGCGTAGTGTAAAAAGGATGGGCACCAATGGAAGGTAAAAGTGGCTATAGATACCCGGCAGTGACTACAATAAAATGAAATAGAAAGGGATCTCGGGGTATGTATGCTTGTGTAAAAACGTCTAATATATGAATAAGATGGAATTACAAAGAAGGGTCACTACCTAGCTCCTGCACAGAAACGCGCACACCAATTTCCGGCGACTCACAAATATCGTGTTTTTATAAAAATATTTTAATTTACTCTCAATGACCTATCTTGTTCTAATTGTTTATTACTAAAATGTTCTTCAGTAAAGGATCTATTATAAGCTTATTGTATAAACAAATGTTTCACTTACCTCTGACTATCCTGATATTCTCTTGAGATGAATGATGTTGTTGATGTAACAATTATCGATGTATACGTTTACGCATTAATGTACGCAATTATGTTTATACGGTTTATATTATTACTAACTCGCGTGTAACTACTTTTCTAGTACAATTCTATATTAAATCTACCCAAGGTGAAATCTAAGTTTGTTATAACTCTGTCTTTTTGCAAAAACCTTTTGTATATTTATGTAGTATAGTTCTTAACCTTGTATATGATGTTTTACGTTAATATATTTATTATTTAATAATTTATAAAGCAAATGAATAACTTCTAAGCAACATAACTGTCCTGTGCAACAAAACTATTTCCAAGTGGCCTACGTCTTTTCAGTCGTCCAAATGGTGATCTAGGGTAGATGCGAGCTCAATTTCAGTTCTTTGCACAATAGATTATACTAGTGTCCTACACTCCGATCACCGGCACTGTGGCATAGATCAGACTAGCTGGTCGATAAGTGGAGAGACACTTTTAGTTGTTTAGTATGATGTTAGTTATAAATATATATTAGTAAAATATTAGTTTTTAGTATAATATTTCGACTCTGATTTATTTGTATTTCGTAGCTGGATGTACCAACGCGAGATCTCAAATAATATCTTTGTCTTTATGCAAAGAACCTTATGATATGTGGCCTACTTCTTTTCAATCACCTGTAGGACGACCTAGGTTAGATGCGACTGTACTATAGATTTATGCACGATAAGTTATGTTAGTGTCCTACACTCCGATTGCCCGCACCGTGGCAGAGATCAGACTAGCTAGTCGATAAGTGGAGAGACACTATGAAGAAATCTTATGGTTAACTAAAATTCTAATTATGATATTATTGTACTATTACCCTGTCCAGCCAGGTTGTGGCCCTTCAATAAGTAGTAAATACAATTCAATCAAATTAATTACCTCAGAGTATGTTTATATATATATGAATATAAATGTAAATAAAAAGAAATAAATAAACACCAGTATTTTATATGTGTCAGAATATTTATATCACCAAAAGTATTCGACCGAAAATAAGATGTATAATATTTTTCAGTAATTACAAAAGAGGGTAAAAATTATGTAGATTTCATATAGAATTGTTACTAGAATGAAACATAAACTCACGCACATTCACTTTTTGTATCTTAGTTGAGTATTGCAGAGAGCCGTAGAGATGTATAGAATGGCAAAGCGTCCCAGTATTCGCTAGAGGGATGTTCAGAGCAACCACAGTAAGAGAGCCAAGTGCAAAGGAACCACCCGAATTTGGGGGAAATTGGCCTTTTTATAGCCTGCAAAAACTGGTTTAGCGATCTCTGGTGAGATTCTTGAAATATTTTTGCTGTATTTGATTGGTTAATGTGATAGAATCTTTTACGTGGGCGTTTTATGGAATGCGTAAGAGGGAGATTAAATCTTGTGTAAGGGTATTATTTTATTATTCATCTTATCCACGGGGAAACACTGATTTGGTGATATATTTTATTAAATATAAGTATTAATTATTACATGTATTAAAGTGTGATACTACAGCAAGGGCGGTCTCCTGGCGGTTGCTAGGTGGCACAGAGTGACTGTTAAAAAAACTCCTTTCCCTAAGCGCTCCGTTAATCTAACAGAGTGCCAGCTCTTTGGCACAAAATTTTTTGCTTGTATTTGACAGATGATGCACCTTGTAATAATTGATATCCCCGACGGTGTAATTGTTTTGTGTGGTTGCAACTATTGTAGCGTGATGTTCGCGCGCTAATAATAGACTGCCATTGATGGCGGCGGGGGCTACCGGCTCCATGCGCTGTACTTACCAGTTACTTGACAGTTTCCCTTACCAAACCGTGACGAATGTAGGCGGGGGGTAGCCGGTCTGCTCGTTGCAGTGGTTGTGGAACGCAAACAATAGCAGGGACAGTTTTAAGTACCAAGAAGTATGACTGGACTCTGTTAATAATGCACGGAGTCCCTCCTTTAACTCCTAGTTCCTATGTTATACCGGGTTGGCACCGGTGGTATATCAGCGTGGTTCAGACTTCTGTCCCCCGTCGATTTACTGCGACGATCATTTCAGCGCTTTGCAGTTGTCACTTTAAACAACCCGCGCGTAACCGAAACGTGATAAGAATTCGCCCTCAAACGTAACAACAATTGTTTTTGTTGTCGCTGCGCCTTTTGGGTACGCTTCGTTCTATCTGCTGAAACAGTCGGTTGCTACCGAGTTTGCTTTATCCCTGGCCGTTCTAGGGTACGTGTCCATTAGATAGAATAGTAAAAGATAACAAAAAAAGTAATGGTTATCAAATTCCATAACAATCTCTTCACTGACATTATGTATATTGTCGTTGATTTTTTATAAATATTTAACGCATAATGCAAGGGAACATTTTTTTTCTCGAGGATAGTATGTATACAGGACCGCATTTAGGAATTATGACGGCCGGGGTTTGATAAATTTTTATTTTTCCCAAAACATTTATTTTTCTTTACTTTTTTTTTATTTGATTAAAAAAAAATGTATGTTCGATTCTGTCGTTTATATTGCTTCATATTTTAGTGTCGCTCAGTGGTCCGGCCTTTATACAGCCCTGCATATGTAGTCCAACTCAACATTTACTCTTTTAGGTAAAAGAGTCATCGTTAAATAATATTAATAAAGAATATTATTTCAAAAGTAAGTAAAATAAATAAGAGTAAGGTATACATAATTTCATCAACAAATTTATTTCGTCAAAAGACCCAATAAATATATTAATGTCCATAGGAAATAGTCAATAATTTCCTTTATTATTATATTTATTATTACCATATACGCTATTTATCTTTTATTATGTTTATATTATTATTTTCATTGTATTATATTATATAATTGTTATCATTGAATTATATTGTAAATTGGACATTTGTCTGTAGAAATGAATGAATAAATAAATAAATATCATTAGCAAATTTTTTTTACTTTTAATTTTTCAGTAAAGTTTACTCTATGAAATAAAAATACAATTTTCATCATGTAACACGATGAATAAACATATTAAATATCTCATTTTAAATGACGTGTAGATAATTTTTTGTTTTAACAATTGTGTCATATGTTTAACTTGAATAGTTCGTCTGAAAATAAGTAAAATTATGAATCAAATACACTTGTATATTACATGGATGATATCACATGTTCTGTGTGCTGTTGGTGTTTAAATAAAATTATAACTACATTAAAAATATTATTAATTTAAAAAACTAAAAAATATTAAACTCAAAGCCATAAAAAATTACTGAAAAGTCGCGATATATATAAATACGTATTTCGGAAACAATGTTTCCATTATCAACGCTAAACACATACTGACACCCCAACTAGAAAAAACTCCCTTATATACCCCTAGTAACTTTATCATCTAGTGACGTCATCACTAAGTAATATTATTACATTTTGCCAGTTTACACAAGGTGGTTAATAATGAATTTTTCAGTGGGCCAAGATACCAATTAATTAAATTGTTTTTATTTTTAAATATTTCTGTTGCCTCCCTAACATTAAGTTATTTGTAATTATTTACGTTTTCAATTAGTTTTAATGAAGTAATTATGTTTCAATGAATGTTCAGCCACTGGAGATTTCTCTACTTCTTGATTATAAATGTTTCTTAAGTGCTCTTTAAACCTGACCCCTATATTTCTTATTGTTTGTCCTACGTGACATATATTACAACTTTCACATTGTATTTGATTAATGCCTGATTTCCCCCTTTCTTCAACCTTATCTTTAGGGTTACCTAATAAATCTCTTAAATTATTACTCTTAGATGTTACCAAAGTAATACCAAAATTCTTAAATATTCTAGTTAGTTTATTTGAGATGCCTGGATAATATAAAATTGGTGATCTAATTACTTTTTTTTTCCCATACTAGTGAGTGTACTAGCCGCCCTCCTTTCTTTATTCCACTTTTATGTTTGGACCAATTTTTTTGTGATACCCAATAAATCTAAATATTTCTTTTATTAATCTGTAAACATGCTATTAAAAACTGCCAATTTGTGTTGTCAGGTGTGGTTTGATGTGTTCGGAATATATCTGAACGTTTGCGTGTTTTTCCGATAAATTTCAAAATTTAGTTACCCCTATATTCTTTTAACAAATAAATCCAAAAAAACAATTTCCCCTCTACATCTTGTTCATATGTGAATTTAATTGATGGGTAAAAAGAATTTAAATGTTGTATGAAAACCTCCATATTAAAATCTTTATTTATAACTGCGAAAATATCTTCTACATGTTTAATCCAAATTTTTGAAAATCACCATAAGTGTGTTTTAAATTTGTTTCAAACCTACTCATGAAAAGTTCTATTCTTTTTTCTTCAGTATTACTATAAAATTCCCCTTATCTGACTTTAAATAAAAACAGTTATTTTTAATAACTATTAAAATGACTGTGTTTTTTTTTTTTTTAATATTTACTTAATTTTATTACTATATTTATCGGTGAATTTATCTATTATACTATGACTATTCAAAATAAATCAAAATTATAGCATGATTATGTTTGTAATATTTAGTGTACTGACAATTTAAGTTTTGTCAAAAACATTTTGTTAGTACCATAAAATACGCACAAACAATTTTTCTTCTTGAAAATTAGACTAACCTAGATAGATTTTAAAATTTCAATTTTGGCCACCTTTATTTTATTTTCAAATACTGTTTATCGAGTTTTCTTTGCACCTGTTTAGGGACTTAGTGCTCTCGTAAATATGACACGATTTCACGTATATAAACAAAAAATTCTTTAGGTCCTTACAAAATAACTGTTGTTTTACCGTTTGATGCATTTCCTTGAAGCCCAGGTGACATGATTGGGGTCGTTGTGACATTGCCAAATTACACGTTGTAACTTGTTAGTGGGTCGACGATCGGCTAGTTCGTGTCCATAGTATACGCAAAATTCAGTGCAATAAAAAAAAACTTATAACACACTCTTACTCATCCGTAGCGGGAATAAGTGTTTAATTTTTAAAAATTAAAAAAATAAACAGGTCGTTGTTTTGCCAATCTTACACTTCCCCCTACCCGTAAACAGTCGGTGGCAGAACACGTTGTTTGTTTCGATGACCGCGTGAATATTGTCATGAATGTCGGTGCGCAGGGACAGTTGTGCTGTAGGCGCTCCTATTAAATTGTCGTTTAGGTCGTTCTCGTCGACAGCAAGTCCTTCCGTCGGGTGGCGTAACAACGTGTCCTGCGTTTCGTCGTGTCTGCCGGTCACATACGATGTGGTGAAATTTAGGTTCCTTTGTGTAGTGTCCACCTGGTTCATTTACTCTTAATTATTTCAACGCAGCGTTGTCTGTATACAAAGGGACATATTCCAAAAATGACCTAAATTTGTATGTGGCCCATATAATCGCTTAACATTTGAGTTCAATAACGATGCATGTTTCTTCTTGCGCAAGGCCCTCGTTCTGAATTCTGTATATTTGTACGCGTTTTGTTTAAGTGATCATTATCACTTGACCGGTTTTAAATCGAGTGTCGAGACGGTTAATTGGTTGAGTCGCCTGTAATCGATACACGAGCGGGGTATGAATATTTCTTGGCCAGGACGACGGTCGCTGATCAAGGCCAAATGCTGAGTCCCCGTGATTCCATTTCGTCTATCAACTCTCGTGTGTGCTGATGGTAAGGTTATGGTTTTAACGCGATCGGTGTTGGGTCTTTTAGAACGATATCATGTTCGATAAAATTTGTGCGTCCCACCGTGCCATTAAAAATCATAGTGCAGTTCATCATTATTTGTGTTAATAATTCACGCATGTGTCTAATTTCGACAGATCTACGGAGTGTTTGTTGCGTATGAAATGTCAATAATGGCGGCCGTTTATATTGTTATTATTGCCGTGATAGTGTCACTGTAAAATCGTTATAAACGTAATAACACAAACGGTTTTATGGAACTCGGTAATTAAGTTCAGTATCAACTTGTTAATGTACCGTACCCTACCTGTCGAACGCTGTCGTTGCAATTTAACGGATAACAGCGACGACCCCTCGTGCACACAACAGATATTCTATGGGCAAACAACTGGTCTGTCTATTTTTCAATATTGAAATAACAAAGTGGAACTCTACAATTGTTTCGCGATCGACAATCAATAATTACCGGTCGAGCAATTCACTGCTGTCACCAGTGAACTGTATAATGGAAATAACTCGCAGCGTAGGGGAGATAAAGAGAACTTATAGCTGTCTCTCGTATGTAAAATAATAAACATAAATAATAATAAAATAAAAAT